CCTGATGCACGCTTATTCGCGGATCTTTGTTAATTAAAATCTCAGTAACTATTGCAAATCTAGCAAAATGGTATAGGACTTTTCGACTCAGTTTTATTCCTTCTACCTGCCTACGAGAGATGTTAAACCAATTCTGGGACACCCTGTATACATGTATGTATGTATTCATACATATAAAACATACAGAATATCCGACAATTAATGTGTAAAATCTCTCGTAGGCAGATAAAAAAAATAAACCTGAGTCAAAAAGTCCCGAACTATTTCTTTCTGTTACATATAATAAAGGAGTAATATTGAGTAAATCAAGCCAATCAGCGCCGATCTTTAGCCAAACGTCAGTGAACCACGCGCCTGATGTGCGTGAGCACTCCGCGCGGCTCATTGACGTGCGCCCGAATAAAGGTTGACGCTAATTGGCTTAATTTATTCAATAATTACTTTTTTATTATATATTATAGAAAAAAATGGTTCACTTTTCGACTCAGTTTTTTTACTCCTTCTTTTTGCCTACGAGAGATTTTACACTAATTGTCGGATTTAATATATATATAATATATATATACATATACATATATATTAAAATATATTAAACGTATTATATAAATTAATTATTATGTATAATCATATAAAATATGTATACATATAAAATTATATTGTAGGCTAAAAAAATAAAAAAAGTAATTCACCAAATGACATATTTCTCTCAGTATGCTGATATTTACGATGAGGTAATCTATTTTTATATTATATATCTATTCATATCTATTTTCATATTATATATTAAAAAAGACACTAAAATATTTGTATTTAAAATAACAGTCTTGTTTGTGTGTAGATTTTTCAGTTTGGATTACATATAATACATCGCCCATTAAAATTCACCGCATTTGGTCTTTTTCTTGGCTATAACTTTCTGCAAAAAGTAAGTTTCTATTATTTTAATGTAATTAGATATATTTTATACTTTTCATGTTTTATACTTCATATTATATATTATGCATTATTACTATTATGTATTATATAATATTATGCATAATAAATATCTTACAATATTTTGTTTCAATTGCAAATGATTTACCAGAGCAAAATGATACAGTAAAGTAAAATGATATAAATTTAAAGTAATCTCACTTTTCTTATAATGAAATCGTTAATTTTTATTCAAATGTATTTTCACTTTCTCGTAGTTTACTACGAGAGTTATAACATTTCTGATCTTTGTACTGCAAGAGTTAACAGAGAGAAATGTTCCATTTACAGAGAGAAAAGTTTTTGAAGCAATATTTAGTTCAAATATAAAAATTAAGAAAAACAATAATATAACACAGTTGTAATGATTGTAAAATATATATATAATTTGTATATTTATATTTTTAATTCTTCTTAGAAGACGTGTGTATATGTTGTGCAAAATAAAATATTAAATTTTTGTATCATTATGATACAATATTACATGTCTTTTCTGTTTTTTTCAATTTTTAATTTTTACAGTTCAAATTGTTTTCGCAAATGTAATTTTGCATATTTTATCACATAATAGAATTGCTGTCAATTGCTGTATTAAATAATAAAAATTTTCTGTTACGATTTATTTTTTTTTATTATTTAGTCTATATATTTTATTATATTGCTTTTCAATATTGTACTTGTAGATTTTATTGGATAAAATAAGTTTCATTGATTACACAATTAATTTTATACAAAACAGTGTCCTATAAATGTTACAGTACAAATAAACCAAGCGTGGTAAAACCAATTTTTATATTTTCGTATGTATGAGTTACGTAAAATCATGATTAAGAGTGCGTTTTACTATAAGCTATTTAGAGTATAGTAAATAGGTAATTTCAATATTTATAAAAGCGTTCCTAATACATATATACATACACATATGTGACAACAAGATATTTAAAAAAACAAATATGAAGTATCAAACATCATGTGTGTGTATGATAACAAAACTTCTCTATCTACATTATATAAAAAATGTATATTTATAATATAAATTTTTCTACAAGCTTCTTCTATACATCCTTTCCTGTAAGTGTTTAAATGCTAATTTTTGAGAGTATTTTTGTATAAATTCGTTAATTTGTTGATCCTTTACATATGTTCGAATTTTGCTTCTTCTTTTTCTTCGATGAATTTGTTGTTTTTAGCTTCACGAAGCCTTCTAATCTTCTTTTTGATTGCCATCGCGCCTGAAAATGTACATACAATACACTATAATCCACTTTAAATTCCAACTGACAGAAACATCATCAAAAAACTTACAAACTAGTGTCTGCCATAATTCAACTTTCTTTGACAAACTATCATTATATTTTTTCAGAGATTCTTTATGTCTTTTGTGAATGCCTGCTAACTCAATTGCTTCCTGTGTTGGAGGTGGAAAAAGACAAATTTCAAGCCAATGAGTGGCTTTCGCATGTTTAACAAGTTTTAGCCATACCTAAATATAATATTAAAATAATTTTTAATTGCAATTTTAATTATAATACGCACACATTTTGAATATATTCCAAATAAGAAATAATTCTTACCGAATCTAAGCATTCTGCCGCAAACCATAGCCATAAGCCAGGTTCTACTTGTGCATAATTTACTTCTTCTGACCAAAGCATGTATTGAGGCACATAATAGAAGTATAAATATGCCCTGTAGACAAATATTTACTATGTATTATATATATTATATATATTGTAGAATAAACATTGATGCTAAACAATATAACGTGTACCAACCAAGTTAGACAGTGTAATAGGAACAACAGCTTGCAGGCTGATCTCATAGTTTGAAAACTGCACAACAGAATCCGACAGACATTAATTATTATACTGTCAATAGTTTTATAAATTAAAAAAGTACTTGTAATTGTACACCATCTGAAAAATTAGATGTACAGAAGCATCAGTTATGTCAACTGTTAATACAATAATGTTAATACAAACATTTGTTAAAGATTTTGTAGCAAATTCAATATTATTTAAAAAAAATAAAGATCCATAAAATACATAAAGCGATTAAAGAAAATGTTATAATAATTTACAATAGAATGATTAGACATAGACTAATTTACTTCTGGTGATATGGATTCAGAATAAATGATGCAAAGAGTAAGTTTGCAAAACCCTTCAGCCAAGAACCATGATAGAGAATGTCAATTCCTGCTTGATAAAAGTAAAAGCTCTTGTAAAGCGCAATTCCCATTTCAAGGTATGTTATTTGCTGCTCGTGGATTGCAAAACTCTGAATTTGAATAGCTGACAACCTCATGTAACAAATACTTCCAAAACAAACACCGCAGTTCCATGTTGCCCAGATTATTCTATTTCGTTGTATTAGTGGAAAGCGCATACGCCTGAACAGTAACTGTATTAATAGATAAATCATAGAATGCGTAAAGAAGATAGTCCTATTTTTGTGCATTTAATATAAATACAAGATTACTCCGAATATTTTCATATGCCGAAACTCACGTTAAGACACTTCTTGTAGATTAAATACAGTATCACCCAGAGTAGAACGAGATATCCGACGAGAACATCGGTCTTTCGTACTTTGGTGTTCGCGACGTTTGGATATCGCGAGCTGATAGCTTGTTTGTTCCATAAATTCGGAAGAAAAGGCAAAAAATTCGTTGGATCAAACAGAGAGTACAGACCAATGGCCCAGTTACTTGCGGCTTGTTCGTACATTTTTCGGTCTTATCTGATGATAAGATCGGGTAATCAACAATGTCAATGTCGCGTTCAAACGATCGGATCGTCAGAATAAAAAAAAAAGACATTTACTTCTCGTTGTCTTCATTCGTACTCATTTAGAATTATTAGCAGCTTACTGTCAGTAGTAGTTGACAGCTGATCGTTGGATACACGTGTTTCCCTATCGAACTCGCACGCTTCGTGATTGGTTAAGTTTGCTTGTGGGGTTACGACTAATAAACTTTTTTCACGTGCAAAGGTACATACGTAAAAATATGACATTGACGCTGAATATATACAGTATTTAATATATAAACAATACTGTGGTTATATATCTGATGATTCTCACATTTTGGCGAATTAACCGCTTTTTTTTTTTGACTGCGGTATATTTACCGAGGGTGAAAATGGTGAAAATAAGTTCCAATTGCCGTTTGCAACGCTCGTGCGAGCGTTACCTATCGTATCTTTTTTGTTTAACTTTCGATAAACAACAAGGATAAAATGATTTCGTGAGCGTTGCGAACGGCAAGTGAAACTTACAATATATGTGTTCAGAAAACACAACACAGTTGGGACTACGGTCGAGAAATCATCGCTTGTGATTGGATCTTACTTTTGGAATTCGTGATAGATTTTCACGAATAGTCTCGTCGCAAGTTTTGATAATATACCTCAATTGTTCGGCAACTGGCGAGTTTTCTGAACGTAACCAACGTAAACAGGTGTAAAAGCCGTAAGCTTGGTGTTTTTGCAGTGTTTATCTCGCGCAGCAGAAATCCACTGACAATCTCGTTGTACTATTAACAATTAAAAATATATGTAATTTTATTTGTAAAAATGGCCGATCAATTTAAAAATATAAATATTATCGTTAAAGGTAAGGGCAAAATTTGTGTAACTGCTGCATGTTGTTACGCACGTATTAACGCACAACTAATTGTCACTTTACTGGTGGACATTTTCCGCATAAAAGTTCGATATTTAAAAACCCGTTTCGTGTCCTTGCCGTGTAAAAATCGAAAGGTTTGGAATCGGCACTTGTGACACGAACGGCGACGGGCAATGTATGTAACTGTGTTCGAAGATATAGTAATTGGTTTTTGTTATCCTCGAATCGAAACACGAAACGACTGCGTACAAACATTGATCCTAAAGATACCGTAGCAATATGTCATTAGTAGGTACAGAATCGTTCTGATCGTTGAATGTGATTATTTGTCGTTTCTTTGTTCCAAATAATTTTCATATCAAAAACTACATACTATTCTCGTGTGTGCTATTGCAGACGAACATATGAGTGACGAAAGTGTCGGTGTGGCTTTGGAAGACACAGAGGTGGTGGAATGTGAGCCTGAGCCAGAAATTGATGATGATAACATTCAGTATCACCTGTATGCTGTCAAGGAAGGAAGTGAGAACACAGTGACGTATAAAGTTATGCAAGTTGGTGACACTCATCGAGAAACCAATGAGGTTGCGGTAGCTACTCCCGTGAATAACACTGTACAGATTTTGACTTCTCCGCTCAATGGTCAATTCTATGTGCTCAGTAACAGCAATGAAATTGTAACATCTGAATCTACAAGAGTTTCACCTCGTGTAGCTAAACTGAAGATAGATAATGGACAACAGAATGCTGCTCCAGTTATGAAAAAAGTAATTTATCTTGTGTGTTAGTTATATGTATATATTACATTTACTTTTGCCTGTAGAGAAAGTCAAAACAGTATATTTATAGAGAGACGACAGACGAAGAGTAACTCACAATGAAGTGGAAAGGCGCAGAAGAGACAAAATTAATACTTGGATTTCTCGACTGGGAAAACTTTTGGAAGAGTGCGAACAAGATATTAACAAAGAAGGAGATGCAAAATCCAGCTTTGAATCACAAGTGAGTGTTTTCAAGATTATTGTTTGATTGTTTATTTTAAAATGGTTTTAAAATATGTTATATAACTTTTCTTCTCTCTAACGATATTGATTTGTTCGTAGAGCAAAGGAGGCATATTAGCACGAGCTTGCGAGTACATAACAGAGTTAAAAGAAACTCAGGAAAAGTTAACACAAGTCATGGATGAAAGATCTCAATTGACGGAAGAAGTGAAAGAACTGCGACAAATCGTAAATCAGTTGAGAGATGATAATTCAAAGTTAAAAGCTGAGATTTCGGAGAAAAGTACATTTACAGTTGTCTAGTTTTAATGAGAAATTAACAGTAGACAATATCTGAAATCTTTCTATCGCTATATCACCACTTATTTTGTTAGATAGAAATTAGATATATAGAATTTTTATTAATAAATGAAGAAACAGAAAATATGATGTAATAGTTTATAAAACGTTTATTTACATATTTGTAACTCAGTCGCTTTCAAGCTCGGCGGCTGGAAAAAAAACAATGACAATCATATAATATAACGCGTTCTACTGTACACATCGTAAACAATATAATTATATGTAACGATCAATCGAGATACACGAACAATCGATCTCGCGACGACAGTCCACATCCGTTAGAAAAAAAAAAAAAAAAAAATTTAAATTAGAAATATATACAAATATACAAAACGATACTACCGTTAATCAATAATGAATCACGTGAACGTCATAGAGATATATTGCTTAACAATAGAAGTTACTTATTGTTACAACGTGCTGAAGTTTGCTTCTTCTAACAAGAAAGTCCTACGATATTTACACTTACAAAATACATTCATGTATGTACAGAAAACAGAGCAATACAGTGGTATTTTGTGCTTCTCCTATTAGATCGTAGTACCTTTAGAGAGATCTCGCTGTGGAAAAAAAACGAGCTCCGCACTTTTCTCGGTTGTCAGAGCGTACGAGTTATATCACACACAAATTCTCAGAGAAAACATATATGTATATAAAACACGTAGCTGCTTAAATTATCATAACAGTAACGCTTAGTTACTATTTATTGCTTCGTTAGCGATTTCTCCCTCGAATTTTCTGTAGATATACATGCTACATGTGTAATTCTGTCTAATCATTTTTTTTTTCCAAATGAAACTATTTCTAAAAAAAAAAAAAAAAAAGAAGACAGAGCACATCCTCTTGTCGAACATCCTCTGTGTTGTGAATTAATCGGGTTGTGTGTCGATAAGATATGTAATTCACTTGTCAATATAGGAGAGCTCGTGCGAGGTATGAACTTTTAATCATCACGGGCTTTCGATCGACTTCTTCGTCGTGACGAGAGAGTGCAATTACATTACTCGTAAATGTAAAATGGTGATGGCTTGATCGCGTGGTACACACAATTTTTTTTTTTTTGTTCAGAGACGATGCGAATTTCTGTTATATTTTATATTCCCCCAAGAATATTCTTGCCGCGCGTATTTCTTAACGTTTAACTTTTTTTTTGTGCTGTTCCTTATACTTACATTGGCCACTAAAGCAGTTTCCCGTGTACAATAGCAATACTTATTAGGAAAAATCACATTTGAGAACCAATATACGAAATAGTTTCTCTATAAAAATAACTCTGAAATGAGTTCAGGGTCCGGCAACAGGATCTGCGTCTTTTCTAATAAATCTAAACATCAACAGGCTAATGTGATTTCTTTCTGTACATTTAGGAATCTTGATCCATTCTTTTTTTTTTTTTTTTTTTTTTTTTTTTATCATTTATATTGTCCTCGTATATAGTAAATTACGTCGTCGGGAAATAAGCAAAAATATATAAAACCTTTTTTGTGTTTGTGTCATATATAAAACGTAATAAGTGCATCTCCCCTTCGTTCTTCTTGTGCTACGTTTCTTGACTTTAGACACAAAGATTCCCGAAGAGACGGAGAAAAACGCGCTTGTCCCTCGCTCTCGGAGAAAGTACCGGAAGTACCGATCTCCTCATTTNTTTTTTTTTTTTTTTTTTTTATCAAAGACAATAATTTAAAACAATAACAAGTGTATAGAAAAAAAAAGGAAAAAAAAATTTGTTTAAAACTTATTGGCAGTGTTGGAAACTTTCAGAGTATAAGTTGCGCTGAGATTGCAAGATCGAACTTTTCGTCAAGGGACCGCGTTTGGAGACAATAATACGTGTTGTGTTATTATTATAACATAAAGATTCTACATTCTGACTGACTCGTTACCGAACTCTCACGTATCTCTCTTTCTGTGTACAAGAGTAGAAAAAACTTCGGAGATCTCTTGATCATTTCCTTCTCGTCTCTCTCTCTTTCTCTCTCTTTTTAAAGAAGTTTATCGCTTCTTGGTCGCAATCACACAAAGAGGCCTGATATGCGAATATTTACAAATATTTAATTACTTTTTTTTTTTTTTTTAATCTGTATGATAATACTGCCGCTCTGTTATTTTGCGTAGAAATGAAATTTTTTTTCTTTCTTTCTCTCTCTCTCTCTCAATCTCTCTTACCTTTCCACCAATAAGCAACTCTGTACAAACTACTACGAGTAATACGACACACACAACCATGTAAAATAACGAACATTAGTTAGGCAGTAAAAGTTACCTTGCATAGCTCGCTGGAGATTTTCTCTAAATACAAAATACACCTGTCTTCGTTGAGAGAAAAGTAATAAAATGCGGAATCTCATCATCGTGTTCCGCTCAAAATTGATCTCGCGCTAAACTGATCCGATGTGGATTTGTTTTTTTTTCGTCATCGAACTTGTTGCCAACCACTCGCACTCACGACAATTATTACTTAACATTATTTCTGAGAGATAAAAAAAAAAAAAGATTCAGACAAAATTCTCGAAACAGTCAAACGGATCTACAAACATAAGGCGGATGAAGATCGTTTAACAAATTCAATTCAGAAATCACGTTATGTCGATCCTATGGCATTTCTCATTCAAAATTTATAATCGATTTCCCTTCGCAGGAAGCGTCTTGGTCGTCAGTCTTTCGATTATCATACAAAATTTATAGCCGTGTATATATGCAATACGACATCCAGCTGCTCGGTTCGAAAAGCGATATTGCGCGTATATATATGTATATATATATATATATATATATATATGTATATATATAACAATACATATATGCCATGCTTCATTATGTATCGTGGATTTGCAATGAAAAGTTGACTAATACTTTTCTCTTGAGTACCGCAGAAGCCCGCTATTGACTTTATACATTTATCATTTATTATCACATACACACACTCACACATGCGCGCGCGCACATAGCACACACACACACACGCACACGCACACTTTTCTAAGTGTGTTTCTATTATCTTAATCTCTATATCTTCGCTGTTAGTAACAATAATTTCTAATGTCAAATATCTACAAGATCAATTATACACCTCTCTCTTTCTCTCTCAACAATTACTTGAAAAGATTTTAAACAATAAGTTTCGAACATTAACAATGTTGAAAGTACAATCGTATCAAAGAAGATTGATTTAAAGCCCTCTCTCTCTCTGATCTGAAGAATCACTGATTCAAAGAGACAAAACCAGTCCTGATTCGAATTTAAAACACAATAAAGTCTCACCTGGATTTACCTGCGGTAAATATAGAAGCGCGCGCTTTGATATGACGCTTTGATCTATTTTCGCGAGAGTCAGCGACTGAAAAGTTACATATTGACGTTGCTTTCAAATTGCGATGACAATGATCGAATCTGATGAAATCTACAGCGTTTTCTTTTACTACTTTAGTTGAAAAAGAGATATATCTCTTGCGAGATGAAATCTACTTGCGAACTATTTAAACACCTTCGTGCCGTACATATAAGTGACGAGGCGCTGCTCGTCTCGTCGGTGCTTCTTGACGATCTAAGTGGATCGTTCGTCGATTGGCACAAAAATTATGTTAAATAGGAACGATCGCTAAGTAGTGTTACCTCGTTTGAGTGATCCGATCAGAGTGATCTTGAAAAAAAAGTCTCTATCTCATAGCGATCTCTAAGTTTCGGAGAATAATCACTAGTTAAGTCAAAATTTCCGACATGACAATGCAGCGCCCATTTAGCCGCGGCGTTTTTACAAGTCAATGTACGGCACGAAGGTGGGCCTGTCTCAGGACGGTTGAAGCCGAGTGCTTTTCTTGTTGCTACCGAATGTGAACCAGGTGCCGACTTTTCGTCCAAGCGAATTGGTGCTGCCCTGCTGTCCGACCATCGTCGGCATCTCGTACGCAGTCTCTCTCTTGTATGTTTTATCTGCGACACCCGAAATAATATAAATTTATTACATACATTGAATTATTCCAACAGATATAAATAATTAATGTTGATGGTAGGGAACAAAAAAACCAAGGTTTTTTTTTTAAAAAAATAGAAGTTTTATAAACTTACTGCGTGGTTTGATCGGCGGTCTGTTCTGCTGTCTTCTGGCGGCGATCCTGGCAAGCTGTCTAGCTGCCGCTGGAAATTCTAACCCATCATTTCTATCTTGAGCCACCAATCTTCGTTCTTCAGCCATTGCCGCGAGCCAGCGGCGTTTCTCTTCCGCTGTGCGGCAACAGAAGAGCAACCATTTATCCCGGACGCAGCTGTATATCTTTAGACAGTGCCTCACTGTCACTCCTGATTGAAGATCTAACGAAACATAAAACCGTTGAAATCATTGATATTTTTTAAAGAATTTTTCCTCTTTCCCATAAAATATTTACTGAAAAAACTTTGTGTATTTAATTTTTATTTCGATTTTACTTTTACAATAATAAATTTCTTAATTGAGATTTATGTTTCGAATTTCCGCGCGCACGCGTGCACTTACCTTTTCCGTCGGGTACGTCGATCACCTCGCTAGTGTCAAGATAGATGCGACCCTTGTAGACGTAGGTGTTACGCTTGAGTATGTCCTTTTTGCAGTAAACCAGCTGATGATCGAAGAGAAATAGCGTAATGTTGTTCGTCCACATACCCGTTTTCACTCTCATTGCGTCGCCTTGATAAATCAATTGCGACGAAACTTCTATGAGATCTTCGCCCTGTATATAATTTCACAGATAGATAGATTACTTTAAATCAATCTAAATGCACCTATCGAAATAATCTTAATTCAAAAAACTCACCTCCCATCCTTCTACGCGCATCTGCCAGGCGGCCAACTTTTCCAGACTCTCCATCCGTCTTTTTCTCTCGTTGATCAGCACCGCTACGTCCCTCATAGCCTCCAGAGCCTCCCGAATCTTGTGATAATCCGGATGATCGGTTTTCGTATACTTCAATAGTTCCGCCAATTGAAGAGGATATTTGCAGATTCGTTGAACGGGTGTCAGCAGATATCCGTCCAGAGGAATCTCTATGAGACCTCTCATTAATCGACACGCCTCGAAAAACTTGCTATAACGATTGTGCTGATAGAGCTCCTGCAGCGTCGCCGTGGCCATCGGGTGGCTGTTGCAATACTGAGAATACATACGAAAGCCTGCCCTCTAAAAAAAAAAACAAACATAAATAAATAAACGCTCGTGTGTTCTTTTATTCTTCTGGCATTAACTTAATCGGAAAAGTACGGAAATAAAAGATGAACTTACAGAGTTTATGTATCATATATTATTCTAACTTTTTGAATTTCTTTATTGAAAGACACATTGCGAAAGTCGGGAAAACTTAAAAAAAAAAAAAAAAAAAAAAANNNANCNNNCAATTTATCGCGACTGAATGGAGAATTTTTATACAAGAAGGAAGCGAAGAACCAGGAATAACACTAACGTGAGTTAGAAAACATTCGCCGACGCAGCTTTTGTGAGGCGCGTTCCAGTCGATGCGAGTCTCGAGATCCTTGAGGAATTCGGATTGAAAATCCAAAAGCTCCTCGAGATTGATGAAGATCGTTTCGATTTGCTCTTCGGTGAACATGTCCGTGCGTCTGCGACACTCAGCGATGTAACCCTCGGCTACGTCGCGCAGAATCTTGACGAAATCGCGCTCGGTCTGAACGAGCTCGCGAACCACGCTAGTTCGCACTTGCTCGTTCGAGAGCAGGGAAACGCTCGTTCGTCTTCTCAACTGAGTGACCGGCGATCCTCCCGAGGCCATCGCCGCCAGACAATCTTCCACCGTGTCCTCCTGGCTCACTCGCAACTGCGGATATATACAAGTTTGCTTCTATAATACTAAACTTATCTGTTGTATTTATTTATTTGTCAATAAAAAGATGATTCAATAAATTAAGTAAATAAAAAAGTAAATAAAAAGTTAACACTAAACTAAAACAATTAATAATTGCAATTCAATTTTGATGAGATAGGGCGTATCTGAACTGGTTGGATTTTGCATGGAATTGTGAATCATTACAACAAGTTTTTCCAAACGTTTCGACTATATTTTTTTAGTCATCCTCAGTGAGTAAATAATTTAACACACATTCACTTTTGAAAGATTTCAAGCTGTTATCATTAAACAAGAATTCTTGCTTACGAGTTCAACATGATAACAGGGTACGATACGCCCTATCTCATCAAAATTGAATTATAATTCATCCTAAACCAGAGGATAATTCTAAACTTCAAATAATAATTGCATTTGTAAATATAATAACAATTCAATTTTTGTATCTAAAATGTTTATAAATAATGTTACATTGAGTTATAGAATTATTTTCAAAATAAGAAATACATACTTTTTTTTCTAAATTAATGAAATTATCTCGGTAGGAAGGTTTTACCCTGACAAAAGCGGCTGGAAACCATCCGTGCTCTCCCCTGCAGCTGCCCCACCACCAATCCTTATCGAGAGTATCAAGAACGTCAATCACGTCCCCGGCGCGAAAAGCCAGCTCTTCTGGTTCCATAGCCACGTGGTCCCAAACAGCTTCAGCTAAGATAACAATTTCTTCGTCCATTGTCTGCTCGAATGACTTTTTTTTGTCCGTTAAGGAAGCGATCGAGGATTCAGAGTCGGACATCATCTCATCGTCCGATGTGCCGGCTCTCCCATCCTGCTCGTCCTCGGATAGCACGTTGCCACCGGGTAATCTCACGCCTGTTTTCACGAGTGGGGGAGATCATTATGACAAAGATAAACGCTTCGTGTACAACGTTACATCCCAAACAAGTATATAACGACTAGAAGTAATGTCGACAAATTATTTGGGATTTGAACATCGTAATTTAATCCGATATCAAGTGTGCATTAATTAATTAAACTTCTATTTCTACAAGTCATGCTCTGCTGACATTTATAATCTGACAGAAATCAAGAGATTTATTTCAAACTCAGTTCGTGTCTCCAATCTGCCATCAATCAAGTTGCTGTAAAACAAATTGTGCAAAATTTTACTTTGGGCAAACTTGATGATAAAAAATTCTGTACACATAGTGATGTATCTCCCTTGAATTTTTTGTCTTTTTTTCTGTTTCTTCTCTTTCACATGTAATTCTACAAAACTAAATCCACAATATAAATGCGCTTCTTTTTTTGTAAATTATTTTTACAATGTATTTCTATATTTAATTAATATAGAGTGTTTTTAAACATATCACACAGAAATTATATATATTCAAGTTTTAAAATCTATTTTTTTTATCAAACTATAATATATATTTTTAAACCTCGCACAAATATAAATACGCGCGGCTCAACAGAAGTTAAGGGTTCGAGTTGCAAGAAGAACAATACAACGGAAAACAAACGCCGATGTAAATTACATATAGTTTTTTAATTCGAATTAAATGTAACTCTAAAATCGGATGTTTATATCTTAAATTAAAAAAAAAAACTACATTTCTTTACGGTTCTATTAACAAAGTAATTTTGTTGAAAAAAATTACACCGGGGTCAGGAGTCGCAGGAGTCGATCCTGGAGTGCTGTACAATATAATATGTGATAATGCTGATTGGCTATACATATCGCCAGTTGTTTCTTGTCACGCTGCGTCAAGCTGCGTATACACTGAGCGAAACAACGAACTTGACCAATCGCCGAATTGATCAATTCGATCAATCAACCAATTGAATATTTGCATTCACTGCTCGTTCGCCAAGTAACTTTGTAAATATACAATATATTTCCATGTTTTTTCTCCGGCAAGCTTTATTGCACCCTAGTATAAAAAAATTTATCAGAGCCGTGCGCGAGGATATTCGAAAGTCCGACGGAAAGGTTTCGGAGCTCTCTTTGCTCATATCATTGTCTTTTTATCATTTTACCGATTTGTTTGCCGCTAAAAATAAAACGACATGATTTTATTTTGTACCAAAGCGAGAATAAATTCCACAGTCACAAACGAGCATTTTCGGAGTCGAGGATTAAAACACGCTCGCGCACCCGTCCTGTATCCTCCTCTCGCACAACCCTGAAGAAGCTTTATTTATAACAAATTAGTAATCATCAGCGATATGCAGAGCATCTAGTGGCAGAAGTGCGAAATTTATTCGAGATTGTCACGTGGTTCCGTAATATAATTAAATTATAGATAGAAATTCTCTTGCGCGCGCTGTCAGGTACACGCTTCTCTTCTCAGGAACACATTACGAGTGACCGCTTCTCAGACGTGTTTGTTTTTGAAAACCTTGGCGAGAGAGACCACGTGGGTCGCTAAACAGTACAAAAGCAAGACGGATTGTACAAACACGTCGCAAAAACAGCGGTAAACAGCAGTTTATAGATTTCACACGGGCATATTATACGGTGTAATAAAATGGCCAGAAATAATTCGCGAGAATTCATCAATCGAAAACAAATAACCGGAGCGGGCAACACCGGTGAATTCTCGCTCGAGTGCTTGCTGAAACATCCGCTGGAAAATTGTTGGACCTTGTGGTACTATCATCCTGACAGAAATAAACCATGGGAAGATTGCCAGTGTGAGATCGCGAGGTTTAACAGTGTCGAAGAGTTTTGGGGATTGTATCATCACATATTGCCAGCCTCCGAGTTGAAAAACGGATGTGATTACAGTCTGTTTAAGCAAGCAATACCACCCATGTGGGAGGCCGATCAGAACAAATATGGAGGACGATGGGTAATAAACATAGACAAGAAGCAACAGCAGGATTTGGACGATTTGTGGTTAGAAACTCTGCTGTGTCTCATTGGAGAAAGCTTCAATTTGTGTTCCGACGACATATGCGGGGCTGTGGTAGGCGCCAGGCCCAAGGGATACAAGATTAGCGTCTGGACATCGAATGCGGAATCCCGGGACAACGTTATGGAAATAGGATTCAAATTGAAGGAAAGATTGAGGATCGTAAACAAGATCGTCTATCAAGCGCACGAGGACACTATGATAGCGAAAAACAAAAAAGTTACTTCGCGCTTCAGCCTCTAGATGGCAGATTCGATCTGCATATATTAAAGACAAATACTAATTTGTAATCTGTAATTTGTAATTCATTTGATGTAAAGTGTGTTTTTAAAGTTCAATAAAAAAAAAAAAATATCAGATATTCTAATCGAAAAAGATGTAAATTGTTTATAGACAGAAGCGCGCAGACGCGGAGTAATGTCTCTCCAGATTGCGAAATATTCAAAATTTTTTCTTTAAATATACGGTGAATATAAAAAAAAAAAAAAAACATCGATTTTTTAAAACAATGATGACCTCTCTCGCTCCGCTTATTCTCTCCTCTACTTACATTTAAAGAAATAAATAAATAAAACAACTGATGGCTATATAAATGAGTAAAATTGATTCGCATGAAAAATGCGTGTCCCACAACACGGAGGACATGTTTGTTGCTCCTCTCAGCGTTCTTCCGGATTATTCCGCAACATGTCACACAACACGTCACTCTCGTCCAAAAAAATTGTCCACCAGTGTGCGCCAACCAGTGGCGTTTCGGCGTGAAAAGAATGAAAGTTTTTCATGAAATTTTTTGAGAGAAGGCAGGCGAGTCCAATGAAGAACCTCTTAAAACTTCAAAACTTAACCGCAAAGCGTGAGGGTGAATAAACGACATCTTTGAGGGATGTTGAATTCCTCATGAAAAACCGGATATGCTCGAAGGCGAAAACACTTTTACGAGGTTCTACGACGGACTCGTTCCTTACTACTCACTTGCAAAACAGAAGCGTTTCCATACGAAGCAACGTTTTTTTTTTTTTTTACAAGGGCGATTATTACACAAGAGACGTCCCATTCCTTACTCTCGCAACTTTGTTTGTTTTATCTCTCTCTCTCTCTCTCTCTCTCTCTCTTACGTTAAGGTGCATTCGACGACAACACGATGTGTGAATGTTTGTTATTACGTTTTTACAGGAATGCATGCTGAATACTCTTCAAGGTAATGTCTAGATAATAAATCGAAGGTCTCTGAAGTGAAGAGTACATTGTGCACTAAATATTGTCAAAGGTTTTCTACTTGCGTGTAAAAGATTCGTCTGTCCAGCAAGTGCGCTTTATCTTATCGACCGCTCTCTTTCTCTCTTTTCGATGATTTTAAAAATATTTTAATTAAAAATATTTCGAAAAGCAATACGTGTATTATTTATTATTAAAAATAAATTGTCTTCTAATAACGTCATTAGTTTCTTTTATATATTCGATTATATCAAATTACATTATAATCACATTGTATGCAATATATTCTTTTTGAGGATGTAGAAATTTAATTTAATATATTATTAATTTTTTAAATATATACTATTATATTTTATTATGTTTTAAAAATGTACAACAGATTTGTATAAATAATATTATATTTAATACACACTAAGTACATTATGTACGCTATCAATCGAAAAACCTGGAAAAATACTAGACTTCGTTAAATTAAAAAAAAAAACAAAAAAAAAAAGAAGAACTAACATGTGAACTCTATTATTAGCAGTGGTGAGACTAGAAACGCGTGACCTCGAGTTCTCGCGATAAGTGGATAGTTTGTACACGTGCTCGGCAGACAAAACAAGAGGAACGTGATCTACGTTGAAACTTCGAAGTTCATCCTTTTTAATCAGAGAAAAAAAAAAACACGGAAGGACATCCGCGAAGTTGGACTTACCTGTAGTTTTAGTGCGCATTAACGGCGAGAGCTGATTGATTCCCAGTGGCTGGCTGAGCGAGCGTCTCAAATTTGTCCGAGAACTCCTCCCTTTCGCGTTACTGCGGCGCGGCAAAAAAACAGAGAGAAAATGTTAATTTGATGTGAATTCGTTTCCGTACCGCGTTTACGTGCGGCTTCGAGCGAGACAGGATCAACAGAAGCGTGTGTGTTACTCAGGTAATCAAAAGCATATCGTTTACAACATTCAGCAACGTATTACAAGAGGTAGTATACAATATGTATATATAGATATAGGTATACAGAGAGAGAGAAAGAGAGAGATAGAAAGATTGTACAACACGAGAGACAAGGTAGGTACGTATGTTACGCGTGGCAGACCAACTCTTTACTGGAGGAAAGATTAAGAGAAGGTGGTTTGTTATAATACCCGTCTACCTACCACTATTCTCCCTCGATTTACTGGAAAGGTTCGAGAACAAAGAATTTTAAGTTTTCCCAAGTTGTTACATTTGTTTGTTTGTTGGTGATTTGTTGGTTCGAGTTTGTAAATAAATCGCGATGCAAATGAGTGTCGCATTTGTGATAGAGGAAGTTATAAGATATTTTTACTAATTTGAAAATAAAAAAGCAGCGAGCGCATCAGGCTACTGATGAAGATTTGGCCGTGCGGCTAAAGTGAGCGAACTTAACAAGCGTTCGATAATATGTAAACTTTTTAAGTTTGTATTTTTCTTTTGTTTTTTTTTTTTTTTTTATCGCCTCTCTTCGTCGCTGCTAGCTTTTCACACTTGTGGTGTAAAAGCTCGTCTCGAATCTCGGAAACCCAAGAAAACGTTGCGAATCCCGTCTCGTGTTTCACCGAATTCTAACTGGTTCAGAAATATCTCAAGTGAAACAGTTAGAAGAAAGAAGAATAATTTTTATCATAAAAAAAATAGAATAAACGCACTCGCGGAAGTAATTTAACAAATGACTTACGAAATGTCTATTTTATTAATCAACAAATTGTGCAAAAGAAGTTAAAAAATTCTTTTACTTCTTCTTCTTTAGCAACTTCGAAATTTCTATTTAAAATTCTCTCACTTAACAAGGTAAATTTTTTTTCCTCTTGAAAAGACTTCAAGTTAAATTGATAGTAAAGTTTCACACGCGTTCAGTTTTTTTACTTTAGAATTTTTTCAACAGTTTTTTCTTCACAAAGTTTCTAAACTTTTTTTTTTGAAAAAAAAAAAAAAGATTCTCTACGCACTTTTCGTGAAATTTTGAACCGCAACGATTGCCTGAGCTTTCCCCTCAGCCTTGGTGAAGAAGCTGAGGTGATTTGTTGCAGATGACGATGGTTTAATGAGGCGTACGCGCGAAGGATTGCTCGAACAACAACGGCGGTATTTTGGTGGTAATTAAACGCACCTTCTGAGCGTAACGATATCATGGGAAGAGTGCCTCGGGCTAAGCCTGGGCGGCCTTGTTTTGATCGGTGATGGTGTCGACAGCATCCTGCGGTAATTGTAAACGTATCCCGACCTGGTGTCCCATTGGAGCAGTCTCTGGCCTCCCAGGTCGCTGTTCGTGCGACGTACGTGATTGTGTCGCGACGTGCGGTTTTGCAAATCCGCCTAGAACAGTCACACACGGACACTCGTGAGATATCGCGATTAATTCGCGTGAGTAGTCGCGCTGATTAATTTGTTGCCCCGAAGACACGACACATACTTCGCATTAATATTTAATTTCTTTCTTCGCGCAATGCTCGGAAAAATTAATATCGTTTAATTACAGTATCAGAATTAACACGCGAAAAGATAAAAACTGGAAAAAACAAAAACTAAAGACGAAATATGATTTGTAAAAATATAACATATATATTACATATATTTTTGTACATTATATATTTTAAATGTTTGTCAGTTTACTATGGGATAAATAATAAAAAGTATTTATTTTCCATCCAATTTGTGTTTGTGATTATATATAATTATCTGTATCGTACATTAATTTTTTTTAATTTCAGAAAACGAATACAAATAAAAATATAAAAAATAATATGATATAAATTAATACATAAAATAAAATATATTAATATGAAATAATATAAAATAATATAAAACAATATGAAATAATACAATACACATTGTATATAAAGAAAAATGTTAAATAAATGATTTTTAATTGAGCAAATTGTGTTTCATAATATTCTTTAACTTTTAACCGTAATGTAAATTTTCTCTCTCGATTATAGAAATAACAGAACTCACTAACGCATTCACGAATAAATGATAATTTACACTTCACGTTCTCTGCCAATTACTGACATTATTCTTCGCGTTTGTTAACGACGGAAGAATGGACTTTAGTTTCGACTGATCGATTGTACTGTACATAGTGGTACACAGTTTAAACGCACACAAAATAAGTCAATTTCAAACAACTGCGAAACGATCGCGTAGTATAACGAACTCTTCACATTGAGAGTTAAAACGCGAACGACCGCATCACACGAGTTGTTTCGTATCGACTAACGAAGAGCTGTGCCGCATTTCCTCTCCTTGATATTCTGACGCTCGTGATATACAAAACGGATATCGTGGAACAGTACGAATCTCTCTTTGCGAGTGTGAAATCGTATACAAAAATGACTAATGCGTACTATCAAGGGAGAGGAAACAGTTACAAGCGAGAAGTACGATAAGCACGATTATCACGTTATACTATTAATGACTAATCACCGTATTTTCCGCAAAGTATTTTTAAAAAAGAAAAAACAAACAATTACAAACATATAATATTTCACGTATATTAAAAATACGTCGCTTTAATATAATTATATAATTAATTATTAAACATGTAGCAAATATAGTAATATTATTACTATATAATAAAAACCAATAATCAATCATAATTATATTAAAACAATAATAAATTATAATTATATAATTATATGATTGTAATTTTTCACACACATAGATATTTATAATTTATTTTAATCACAATTCGAAGACATCACGGAAGTGTTAAGCAACAAATTATGTTTACACAATTACGGATTAGTATATGTGTACTGTTGATTAATATCAGTCGTAAATACATAGGGTACTGCCATGCGACAAACAAGCCATGTGAGAAGCGTTAAATCACGACTGTAACAACCCGATAGATGGAAACGTAATTTACCTTCAACTTGTCAATCAGTATCTGGGTGACGAGCTCGGACTGGGGCCGCGATTTGTCGGTGACTCGCCTGCGAAGGGCCGGAGGACTGTCGGTGTCGTCGGGAATGTCGTCCGTATCATGAGACTCGGAACTGTCACCGCCACCCATCATACCGCCGCCGCTGCCCCCAGTCAACGCTCCACCAGATACCATCTACGTCAGTCGTGTGAAACATTTGCGACATGTACACTTCTTTCTGTCAACGCGCGCACTTTTCGATTCCAGTCAAACGGCACACGAACTCTTTCGAAGACGCTTTGACGTTTAAGTCGCCTTAAGACTTTACTAAGGATGTCTGGAAGGATTAAGACGTCTTTCTAAAGTCGTCTAAGACGTTCTCGCTGGAGAAACCCCAACCCGTCTTGAATCCTTCAGACACTCTCGAGAAACTCAAATTCCTATCTCTCCTATAAACTTTCATCGTTCATGTCTCACCTCGATTTGTATGCCGCTATCCCCGCTGTTGCACTTTGCGTTGCGCGCGGCTTTGTTGCCCTTCTTCCTCTCCTTGCTGCTACGCCAGACCAGCGGACCGAATCTAAACAAAATTCAGTTGCAAATCGAATTTACATAAAATCGGACTTGGTAAATTCCAAATAGATTTTTCACAAAACAATTTCTGTGCAAATGTAACTTAAAAAAAAAAAAAAAAAAAAAAAAGAGGAACGAACCGGAATTTCTGGTCGTTGGAGGAGTCGTCTTTGTGCTGATTGCTCTGTTCCGAAGTGGTTACAGGCGGTGTCTCTCTACCTTCCTCGTCGTCCAGATGCCCGTCGTGATCCTCCACAGGACATTCCTCGTTGCTCTCCTTGCTGCCCTTTTTGTGAAACCTCAGCGAGAAGCTCTTACGGAATTTCTGCAGAACGCTCTCTTGCTGGCTCTGCGCGCGATGCGCAGCATTTTGATTTCCGCCGGCGGACACATTGACGACATTCGGTGAAGAGGACGGCTCTTGCAGCCTCGAATGGCTGACCAGAGGAATCGTCGCTTCTGTCAGAGGATGCTCGGTCGTTATGCGGCTCATCCTCATGCCTTCGTCATCCTCGTCACCGGACCAATGACGACTGTCAAATGCGAACCATTTCGTATTTTCTGTTTATTTGTCTCATAAAAATTGAAGACCGATTGTTTCCATTGAATAATAAAAAAACAAAAGGGAATACAATTTTAAAGAATTTTCTTTATATTCCTTATTTGTTTATCGTGCAATAAAAAAAAAAAAAGGTTCAGTCAACACAGGAATTCAATTTTCTGCGATACGTTTTAACGTTTTAGGAAGGTCAGAGTTTGAGATATGTTCTATCTCCCTTTTCCCGTTCCTGCGCGTTATTCTTAACCAATTGCAAGCGCAGTTTTGGCAATTCCTAGATATTTATGTTTACCTCCTGCGGGGAAAAAGGTCAACCGAGACAAATTTTGAGAAAAAAATGCAACTTTTTTTTTTTCTAGAGAAATTTCTAATCCCGAGAATTAGAAATCACTAAATTCTTTTTCGGTTTTGTTCGTCTTGATTCGTTTTGATCCACATAAGACCCATCGGGAATTGAAAAAAAAAAAAAATCCTACGATCCTTATGACGGATTAAGATACGAAGCGTTCGGAGTTAAGACGGATCTAAACCAGATCCGACAAATTACCGACTCGATCCACTCCTCGAACGTGTGTTTCGAACATGTCATATAAGCCAGAAAAAAAAAAAACTAAATATCTTATCGGTTTTACATTTATTATGCGCTACTGTTTTTAAGAGAAAAAATGTGTTCAAATGAAGAGACATTTCTTCTCTCAAAAAATTAAGATATTGGGAAATTAAAAGAGAAAAGAAATTAAAATATTTAAATGTTAACGTTTAGAATGTTAAAAATTAAAAAAATATAAATGTTACATATGAAATTACATAAAAAATATAGAAATTGACAGGAAGACTTACAAAAAGTTTTGTTACACTCAACATCAGATAAAACACAGAAACGAATAAATTCTCTTTCAATCCATTTCTCTCTAGCGCGCGCGCATACACACGTTATTTTTCAAAATTATGACGAACTGATAGTTTCCGGTAAAAATTGATAAAAGCAACTCTTCTTCGCGGAGGAGAAGCCGTGCGCTACTCATGCCTCGCGAGATAAAGCCGCTCGCATAAAAATTCAGCGTCGTTTTTCACCGCGAAGAGGACTCGAGAAAGAGACGCAAGATAAATCACGAACGTGCTCGTTCGGCCGAAAATGTATAGTCGAGTGCACGAGCGGCTGACAAAGTGACTAGTCTGAAAACTGAATAGCGGAAACGCGACAGCGTTCGCAAAAGAGGAAACCGGTCGAAATATTTCGCAAACACTTCGCAAATGCGAGAACCGTGGTTGCGTTAGCGTTTCGCCAAACTGCCGGCGTGGCGATTTTATTTCCTGCCGATGTCGCGCGCTTCCTTTTGCGCGCGCAGGCAAGTGCATGAATTATATTTCTCTCATCCTCGCGTTAAATCGTAACAAATATAATCCGATAACACGAGCATGCGCCAGCGTTTCGCTGTAATTTTTACGCTGCACAGTCGTTTATAAAACAAATGCGAAAACGTGTCTCGTTCGTAATAGGTCGTGAGGAAATATTTAATGACGTTAATTGCGCACTTCGCGATTGGTATCTACGCGGCAAATATTACTGTATATTATTATCACGTGGGTGTTTTAATAATCTACCGCTAGGAGCCCGTTGAGATCGTTCATTATTAATATTGCAGCGTTTTTAATGAGATATCGCGTTAATACATCGGCGAATACGACGTTCGCCATTCGAATATTCTAATGACACTTGACGCAACATTTACTTGAGAGGAATTACAAGAAATTAGAAATCTTTTTCGAAGAAACCTTTGATTAGTGCAAAGTTCTCTTTTACTTAATCTCGAAAAAAGCAAATGATAAGAAAAAATAACACGTAATAATACACATTATAATTAATATACAATAACAGATTGATAATATGATATTTCAAGATTGACCAATGTGATATTTCGAGATAAATTTTTCATACAAACCTGGACAATTTGCTAAAAGACTTCCGGAGAAAATTTTGACGCGGAGAAATTTTCACGTACAGATCAGAGAGACGAGCCTCGCGAAAATCCGAACACGGTTTTTCGGATGAGGAACACTCATTTTCCACGACAGACGGACGTGTAATTTTCTGAGTCATTTTAATCGGAGTCACGCAACATATGTCACAAAGGATATTTGTCACATACAAGTATTGTCAATCATTTGTTCTTTCTTGTTTGTGCGCGTGTGTGTGAGCACACGCGAAGCGCCGCTTCCTTGTGCACTCTTCTATTTGTCACGTAACTTATCACAAATCACGTCATCGTTAAATCCGCGATGTGTATAGAGACAAAATAAAAACACCTTGAGAATTTGGGGACTCAAACGGGGCGCCAAGCTTACGTGATTACTTAATTGTATATAAACCGTAAAGAATAAATCAAGATAAAATTTCACTACCGTTAATTGTTCACATAGCACGAAGCAGAAACTATAATAGAAAATAAGATAGTGATAAAACAACCGTTCACGATTATTTCTAAACAGCGACGTTACTCAGCGACAGTACTTCGTAAAAAGAAGCATCTGGCAATCGTCTGTAACCGAGACACAGGAAGTGCAGCGGTCGACGTTTCAACAACAACTGAGAACTCTCAGAAAGTACACGAAACGTGCGTGCGTAACACATAGATGGATCCCACGAGGTTTTCTAGAGAAATATATTTTTCGGAAGGTCAGTTGCAGGTAAGGCGAGGGATGCGTCTTATATCCTGGTTTTTCTAGTTGTTCTTTCTCTCTCTCTCTCTCTCTCTCTCTCTCTCTCTCTCTCTTTCTCTCTTCCTCCCTTTAGTTTTCTTTTCTTCTTTATATCGACGGTGTGTGTTCACAAAAGATGTCATGTGGTGACAGACGACCAATTCTTCGCCCTTTTCTTAATCAGCACAACGTTCGGAAAACGCTTTGGTGTACAGATATACATCAGATGCAGATATATTTAGACCTGTGCGTGTGCGCGTGAGGTCCAGAAAATTTAGAAAATTTGTTTTCACAATACACACACACACACACACACATATATATATATATATATGTATATATATTTCAGCACAGGCTACTCAAACTCTGATATTATCGCAGCATTTATAATCGGAGAAACACTTGATTTTTGTGAGAAATAGAAAACAATATCGCGCGTTCGGTCATAAATAAATTATACTGCAGGTTTGGAAATAAATCTAAATATTTCAAAATATTGTTCCCTTTTACATTTTTTGGACAGAATAAAAAAACCATTTGTACAGTAATATATATTTTTTTAATAACACACAATAATAATATTCGTAATAAAAAGAAATATTTGTACTTTTAAAATAATACACACACACACACATTTTCACGCAAGTACAAACTTGATGATATATATTTTTTTATTTTTATATCATATTTGCATGTATATTCTTATTTATTTTAGACGCAATATTTTCCTTTGAAATTTACGTACCTGATAAATTCACAAAATTGATTGAATAGCTGTGAAATATATTTATCAGACAGTTTGACATTCTTTTTTTAAAGCGTTATCGCACCAATTCTCTTTTCTCGGAATGTTTTTTAAAATATTTAAAAACCGCCGAAGTGGTTCTATTCACGTGGGTGCAATCCAAGAATAATTTGTCATTTTTAGTTCGTCGTTTTTTTTTTTTTTTTTTTCGACATTACGTCGAAAAAACAACACGAGGTTAATCAACGTGGGCACGATGATGGAAAATTTTCCAGAGGTCTGTTCCTCTTATCAAAGCGGCCTCTTCTTAGCTTGAAGTAGAAGTAGCTGCAGTTCTTCAGCAACGAGTAAAAGAGAGAGGAAACAGCGGGATGAAAAAAAAAAAAAAAAAAAAGAGATGAAAGCTGAGGAAGGGGACAGCTTTTCCATACAGCCTGGTAATTAAAACATCCACCCACGTAGGTGTGTGGACAGGTCAAGAGTCAATGCACCCCAGGTAGGTTATTCGAAATACCTCGTAAATGTCTCCTCTTTCTGCGATACAAGATCGGCAGATTGAGGCAAAAGCTCGAAACGCGCGGCGGATCACACAGCGCGATCTTTGACGCGGAGCCCGCCTTTGTGTCCTATCAGCGGGACATTTTCTTCGATCATTTTTCCTTCCGCGCGAGGGTGGTCTCTTCTTCGAGAGTTCTTTGGAATCTCGCGGACTCTTCCGAAAGAGAAAAAGAATCATTTTCGCGTAACAAGTAGAGCGCGCAACGACGAACAATCGTCGAACTGAAATTGCGACTGCAACATTTTGCGCTTTCAATTCAAAGTTAACTTCGTTCGTCGAGAAACGCATCATTTCAACGTACATCTCGTAATTGTTCCACAAGTTCTTCGAGCTTTGTCGCGGCTTTTTTCGATTTATATTCCGCGCGCCGCGTCGCTGCAGCCTCGACGTTTCCATCCTGGATGAAGCTGACGTCCAATAAACCATTTCAGCGCGCGCCCGTTTTATCGACAAGCAAATAAAATGGTGTCAACTGACTTTTTGCCGTATATATACGCGATCTTTAATAGACTTTCACCACTTGCTCTTGTCAAATATTTGGCAAGAAATTCCATGGGACAGGAGTACCGATTTTGCTCGCGTGACATTTTTTGCGAGGATCGCGACACGAGAAATTGGTGTCGCAAATGAAGTCATTTAGATATTTTATCGTAATAAATATTTGTATATACGTGAAATGATTTTAGTTGTTTTAATAATTGAAGACCATAGTTCGCGATAATAATTCGAATTGCTTTAAATTGAAATTCTTGAATTATTTAGTCGATTAAATTGTTCATTATTAATTGCAACATGATGTGTTTTACATAATAAAAAATTATATACACACACGTATCACACACATGTATTTATCAAATACACGCAACGCGTTAATATATTCCTCTCTAGAGTTGCAATTAAATTTTCAAGATACTAATAAATAAATTAATTGTGTGGCGGCACAAAAGTTTCGCGAGTAGAATAGAATGAAATACAAAAAAAAAAAAAACAAAAAAAAAAAAAGTCTTAACGAGCACGTCGACAACGATGAGTCGTCAACCACGACTAAAGAACTTCTCAAGTACGTTTCAAGTGCATCTTTCCGTTATTTCATTCCTGTTGCAAACTTTCCTCGAGAGTTCTTTATTACGCGAAATATCCGATTCGAATAGCGTTTCTATTTTTTTTTTTTGTAAAAATTTTCACAAAAAGAAATTCACAGCTCGCAGACAGAATTTTTTTTTTTTATTGTCGCCGTCGAATGTCGACATGAATATGTTCGGATCACGTTCGGACGGGATTGCTTCTATTTTCAGCGGAGTTGCACAATATATATATATATTAGAGAACAGAGAGTCGGCAGATTTCATAAGTTAGCTACAACCCTCCAGGTGTTTATAAATGAGAGAAGAGACCCCATATCGACGGAATAGCTGCACAGCGCGGGAGAGATCAGAATGGAAAATTCTCAAACCGCCTTTATCGTCGCGACCACCCTTCGCGCGTCGCCCTTTCGAAGAGACCCTGGGTTCAGAATGCAAGAGAGTGCCACCAGCGACGTTTCCGAGAGAGAAAAAAAAAAAAACATTCTTTGCCTTTGATTTCGCCGGATTTGATCGCACTTTGATTTGCCGCAATTTTCGGCAACTAAAATTTGTAATTTTCGAGAGATCAACTAATTCGCGAAACAAATGCACTAATTACTCTTAGCGCTAATATATCGTTATTTACACTTTTAGAAAGTTTATAGTCGCGTAGATAATAATGTGGTTTAATTCAATTTACTTCATTTGCAGGTGGAATAAATGCGTTTCTGTGTGTGACGCGGAATTGTACATTTCACAGAATTAATATCGCGACGAGGGATATTATTTAATTCATGAATATTAATACCGACTCGATTTTCGAGACGATACACGTATATATACATACCCGTCATGATCCCTGTCCAAAAGTGCGGGTGTGCTCGAGGCTTTGATTCGCCTTTGAGCTTTGCTGAGACCGGGATTCCGCCTTCTTTCTCTCCCGGCGTGGCCGCTCGTTCTGTAATCGTGCAGAGGCTGAAACGAAATAACACACATTCAAGTAGCCGTGAATACATCAGATTTATTCTCTCTCCGGACAGATATTTCAGAACAATATTACTCATTTCTTAATAAGAATTCAATAGACCGAAAGGGGTCGGCGTCTGTTTGTCCAGCGCCGCCCCCTGATGAGGCGCGCGTAAAGAAAAATATATATATATATTATTGATGACAATTGATAACCCCCCGCGCGCGCGAGAAAGTTGCGTTAACGTGTATCTTTCCCACGATTCGCACCAGGCACGCACGAATGCGCTTGATCACTCTCGTATCTTTGTATCGAGATGCCGGTTAGCGCGCTCCGGCCAAGTTACCCCGTCTAATATTATATTGCTAAGTGGGTCACCCGGCAACCCGGAGTTTATTTAAAATCCGCGTCACTTTTTCGCCGCTTTTTAAACACGAGATTGACAAATTTTTCGTCCCTCCTCTCCCCTCTCCGACAAAAATAAAAGTAAAAATATAAATAATTTGCATTTTTACATTTTTGCATTTGTATCAAATTTTGCCGCTGCGCAAAATACCAGAATTTTTTGTTACTTCGTGTACTATTTATTTATCATATCTGGATAAATGCGAAAATACTATAAATCGTTGCAACTTTGTTATATTTTTTTGTTATATATTTTACGCGCTTATATATGTTGCAACATTTATGGAAAAAAAAAAAAAAAAAAAACCATCACGTAGAATTCCGCGCGTTCGAAACGTCCGGCTTCCGATTGCGCTACGCGTGCAGAAACGCGCGTAGATATATACCGTCGGTTCGACACGATGGACGTACATACGTTACGAACGAACTGACACACGAACCGCCGTCGCTGCGGATGATGCATGTAGGTCGTTGCCAGCCGACCGCGGTACGTACATGCATATACGTAGACGACCGCAGTCGCGTGCAGCGAGTGCATCTCGACGCGCGTCCACACGCGGCCGGAGACGTCACCGGCATCGGTGCCATTACTCACGCGTCGCCGATCGATGATCACTTCCGCGTAATTACGCGCATCTCGGTTAGAGACGCGCGGCGACACGAAAATTTCATTTCACGACGACGACGACGACGTCGAGAAATTTTTCTCAAGATTTTTACAACACGCCGCAAAAAAGTTCGGAGATTAAATAGACGATGAGTGATTTTGCGGACGAAATTGAATTTCTCTCTTCCGGTGCATTCGTTGAGCCCCTTCGTTTTCTTACAACCGACAGGTAGACGAAAATTAACGATATCGGAAATGAGGGACAATGAAAAATGACGGTTTTACCGTTTTCCGAAGTTCGTGATGACACAAGTTTAAAATTAATTGATTTTTAGAATGGAATTTCACATCGACGCAACAAATAGAGAATTTTTTGTTTCGTTATACGATCGAGTTTCTACGTTTGTCTTTGTTTTCGGTTTGCTACATTAGCGCACCTGTGAACCTGGAAAATTAATTATTGCAGTCGGACGATCACGTACTTATATATATCGTGTAGTATAACGCGCGCGAGGAGGAACCGGAAGATAAGCGGCGGTAGCTTGAGGTCGGCTTAATTAAACCCCAGAATGTCTCGTACGATTAACTCGACCGTCGTATGGCGGTAGTAAGTTTGCAGAGATTTACGACAGAGTATATGTCGCGAACAGAGAGTCGTTCCGCGTTGTGATTTACCATATTATTGCAGCAAATCGTTACATTTCGGTGCATCACGCGCGCGCGCGCGCGTTTTCAGTTCTTCTCCGAGAGAGTCCGTTGCGCGATCGTTCTCTCAACAAAAATTACGAAAGACACAACAATTCTCTCATTAATGTGATAAATCAAAGCAAAATTTTTCTCTCACAAGAAACAAAAATTAAAATATCTTGTTGAGACTTAAAAAAATAAAATAAAATAAATTATTTTTATCTTGTAAGTATAAACCAATTCAATCGCAACCGAATTGTTCGCACGAGTTGTTCGCACTGGATAAAAAAAAAATATTCGCTCTTTCCCCCGATATAGGCGAGAATTGAAGTACTCACGGAAACGGGGGCTGTGTGAGACGTGACCTCTTCGACACGATGGAGTCTGCTCGGACTAGGACTGGATCGCTGCGAATCTGGCCCACGCTGCCAAGATGTCGACTTGTTGCTGCAGCAGAAAAAAAAAATAACAAAACTCATTTATTGAGGCTCCAATTATAAAATACTTTGTAAATGAGGATTCATTAAAGTGTATTTAACGATCGGTTATTATATATATTACGTTTGATTTATACATTGTACATGTACTTTTTTTTTAACGTCATTTTCAATTATACAATATGCACGATATTAATTACAATTATTTTAAAACGTTTTAAGATTTTTTTAAATTCGTATATGAAACTTCAACATTTTTCGCAACTGTGACAATTTTGTTCGCAATCCGATGACAGAAACGATCGAAAGAACTTATCGCATAGGTTTTCGTGTTCGCTGACGCAACTGACGTTATTTGATATACGCGCCGAGAGCTGAGATATACGCCGAGAGAGTGATTCAAAGACTTATTCATTCGTCTTTGACGCGAGAGTCTCGCTTACGATTGCAGAATCGTAAACGTGTGAGAGAGCATCGTTATCTCGATTAATTCGCATAAGCTTATTATCGCGGTGTTATCGATATTGGATTACAATGCGTGTACAGGCGCGATGCGTCGCCGTGCGGGTGATTAATCAATAATCACCGCACCGTGTATATGTGTGTGCGTGTGTGTGTGCGCGCGTGGGTCTTAATTAATGGGGTTGGAGAGGATCGGGGCACAGATGTAACATACGTCTCTCTCGGAGGTGCATCGCGTTATCTTAGTGGGTCGCGTGCGAGAGCGCGCCGCAAGACCGCCGCAGTGGATTTCACGTAATAAAATTACGTCGAATTAATTCGCGGACTCGGTTAATAACGCGGAAAAACGGTTTTCCGCCTCGCCGCTATCGTGCGTGCAGTTGACAGATGCACATTTGCGTTTTGCAGATATATATATATATATACCTTGTGTGTTGCAGATAACCGACCTACTTTCCATTATATAACGTTCATTCTTATAGAAATGACACGGCTATCGATCTCAGAAACGCCCCACGATCTTAGACTCTTAATGGAATTAGAATCTTAACGATCGTTAATACAATATATAAATGTTTTACACGATACAGTGTGCGTTGTGTGCATTACATTTTTCACAACTGTACAAAAGATATAATATAAATTATTGTTATATTATTATTATAAACGCGCACATTATTTTACGCGCTATTGTTAATTATGAGAAGCGAAATTTTTCAATATCTATTGTTTTTTTTTTTTCAAATTGCAAATTTCGGTGTGTAATTTGTTCTCGCGCTGTTATTTGAAACAGCGAAACACACACGCGTGACACCGGAAAAACGTGTACAAAGCAAACAAAAAAAAGAGAAACAATTGTGTTATATGATCAATAAATTGGTTTTTCTCCGTTTCGACGGGAAGTCGTTCGATTTCGATTGCGGCTCTCGCGAGTGTGGAACGCCGCGAAAGAAGACGTGGAAAAACCAAAAATATTTTCGTAATAAATTACGGCGGAGCACACACGGCTTATCGTCCTGACGCGATAATGGGCGCGATGTTGTAAGTTATGGGGTCAAGGGTCGTCAGGTACAATTTGTAACTTAACGTTTCGTTTCGTACCGATAGCTCTGCGCACACAAAGACGGCGATTAATCTCGTTCGGATTGTCGAGAGAGACAATAATCTAGGGTTAGATATCATACGCGCGGCGGACCTAAGTGACGTGGGTTCAACTTTCTACTCGCAAAACGAAACGCAAAGTGCACGCAAAATTGCAGAGTATCTGATAAAAAAAAATCTCGAGAATCTCTCATAAAGATGTTGCTCGTTGGAAAAAATCGAAAGATCATCTCAGAAAATTGTTTTTTTGTATGCGCAATTATTAAGAATAATTATACAACTTCTTGTATAGATAATTAATTAATTGCCAATTTAAAATCAGAAAATAATTCCAGAAAGTCTCCAGAAACTTTTTTTTCGACTTGCGCTCGAAAAAAAAAAAGATAGAGAGACATTCATATGATTTATCTATGAGAAGAAGAAATCGGACCGCGAGAAAGAGAAAGAGAATCTCGGCGGGTCGAAGAAATCGGACCGAGATCATCAGGTTGAAGGCGCGAGACGGAATTCGAGAAATCACTTCGCGCGGTCTTGGATTTCTCACGGTGGCGCTTCGTCACGTAAGCGCGCCTCGTGTAAGTCTTATTAGAAACTTTGCGACGAGAGCATGACGTACTCACGATCGTCAAATGGTGAAAGGCGATAATCGACGCCGCGCGCGAACGAACGAGCGCGCTCACGCCGCGGTCGGGAAAAAAATAAAAAAATAAAAAAGAAAAGTCAAGAAAAAAAGAAAGTTCTCAACGACGGCGACGATTGTACCAATTGAAAAGGCAGCAGGCCATACCTAGAGGCGCTCGCGGCGCGGGTTCATCGATTTATTCCACTTTCTACGTGTCGACCGATCGAAACCAGCGCGAGAACGTCATCGTCTTCCCCTCGCGTGATAGGAACGCTCGAACCGTCATCCGAAACACAACCGACAGGATTTACTTAACCCCTTCGAAGATGAACGACGTGTAGTTGATTCTTTCGCGAAAGATCGGTACACGATGTTGACTCTGCTCGCCGTCATGTTAAACCTTCTCTCTTGTTCTCATCCGGCTGGCGGAAAGGCGCGTTCGAGAGCAGCACAGCTTCGTCTCGAGCTTCTAATTTTTTATTCTGTCGTGTACCGATCATAACGGAAGATTAAATCGATCGTGAAAATTAATTATAAGTTATTCATCTTCTAGCTAAAGAGAGAGAGAGATTAATGGTTCACTGATTTTCTCGTGTAAGTGTCAATCAATTTGTTATATTGAGATTATATAAGAGAGAAACAAATTACAAAAAAAAAAAAACAAAATTATTAAACACATCTCCACGCGCGGAGACTCATCGTCTATAAAAACAAATTTCAATTAAAAGATTATATACGCGCGTGTTTTTCATTAAAAAAAAAAAAAAAAGTAAGTCCGTTTGTTCGGAAAACCTCATACGAGTAAGTGGGAAATAGACATTTCGAGATATCAGAAAACTTGTATCTGGAAACGACGCGCATCTGACGTACGTAGGACGGCGCTATTATGAAATATGACATGTTAAAGTTTGATGGATGATTACAAAAAGCGTCTCGCATGTCTGACGGCGCGCAAGATCTAATATTTACCGTCTGTTCCGTGGAAACTACGTCACCTGCCGCACGGCACGATCGAAGGATATTGGCACATCGTGCGTGGTATACACAAGCGGAGTATCTGCCCTCCGTGGCTGCGATACGTGCTCGCGGACTAGATTCACCGGATCCTTTCCGTTGCTCGCGGAAATGCGTCATTTTTGCGCCGCGCCGTGGAAAACACACGGCGCAAACATCGCCGAGCAATATCTCTCAAGGCTGTGTGAAGTTTTTACGTCTAATTTGCGTTGCCATAAATGTGCGCGTTGCATCAAGATTTCCCTCCCGGAGATTGAGAAACGAAAACGAAATACTTTCATCGCCGTTTTTATATCATGTCTTCATTTTAATTCGTTGCGCAGCGCAACGAATGTTTCCCTACCGGACACATTAATTTATTTACAGCCGCTATTTATTTACATACATATACATTGGTTTCGTTTTCTTTTTTCGTCGTTTGTATTTTATAAATCTACGTTGATATGTAGTTAATATTTTTACACTGCGTATAGAATCTGACGAAAAGATTTTTAAGGACAAAATACCCAACATTACGTAATATTACATAATAATAAAACACACGGTATTAATCAAATTAATTATATTTGTTATATATATATATATATATATATATATATATTGTGGATACATAAATTCTATTTTTTCAGAGAAAGAACTATTTCTTCTAGCCGCATTTTCCACTCTCTCGTCTGCTCTAAAGATAAACGCGAAATTTTCCCCACACAGTGTGGTATACTATATAACGTCGGCTTATAAAATTCTTTTTCACCGTAACTCTCTTTACAAAGTAACTTTACGAAGAAAAGGATTGATGTAATTCTCTTAGCCGCGGTTTCTATCGAAGCGCAGCAAACTCGCCCGGGGCGCCAAAATACCAGGATCGGCCCTTGCGTGTGTGGGTGGGTGTGCTCACGCTGGTGGGCAATAACCGGTCGTAAAATCTTACCGGTTTCGCAATGCGGCTCCCCGCGGCTCCGCAGCTGCGTCTTATGAATGTAACGTACTTGGTACGGAGATTTTTCTCTCGTCGTCTCTACTTGTGCTCTCTCGTGTAAAGAGAGACGCGCGCGCACGCGCGGATTCCAGCAGATGAATACACGAGAGATTTTTCCCTTTCAGCGGACACACCCCGTCGCATTAAACTGATGTAAGATCCACGTTATGTATGATCGTTTTATCGGTGCTACAACGACTGCTGACCGTCGTAACGCCCATAGTAATTCGCACAACATATCACTCCGACTTGTGAAAGACGCTTCCGCAGAGAAGAAGATACCGTTACAAAACTATTAAAAGATTTCATGTAATAACCGGAGTTGAATAATGTTCAATGTTGCCTGTATACAATGCAATTTATTTGAAAAGTATATAGTTGTGTCTCAGTTCGAGAGTTTTAACGAGAATCTCTAGAGATCCAACGAGAATGTAATATAAACACGTATATTAAATATTAAATATGTTTTTTATAAAGAATATAAAATATATATATATAATAAAACAATATCTATATATATAGATAAATATAGATAAATATAGATATATAATATATATAGATATTTTCTTGTATGTTTTATATATTATGTAATTATATGTAATACGTGTGTGTGTGTGTGTGAAAGAGAGAAATTTTCCAGTGGATGGTAATCACGCGCAATTATTCGCGGTTATGCATAAAAACGACTTGAAAATATATCTCAATTAAAAGTGCGAGATCAAGTAAAATTAAAATTAATTAGCATATAATTTACAAGCCACGGTAGCCACGGTAGCTACGCGTCCACACGAAATGCGTATGTTTGCTCGGTAAATTTTCGCTTTTCGCTCTTTCT